GAAATCCCAGCTGACGGCAGACTATGTTGGCGTCCTTGACATCCCAGTAGTCATCACCACATACCGGTCCCCAGGTTCCATTGTAAAACACCTCGACTCGGCCTTTACCATGAGATTCCACATTGTTATCACCAACTAAACGAGCTGCCGTATAAACAAAATCTTCTGAGTGTTTTCATTTCTATAATTCTGGTTTAGAATTGAAAAACATGTCAAATGAAATAGATTTTTATGTAAAATAACGTTGATCACCTTTTAGTGATGCCTTTATTTAAAATATTGCGCGTGTAATATTAGTCAGAATATACTTGTTGTATATGTTGAACTGGGTATTTTTATGATCTATGTTCTAGCATACCATCTTGAATTCTGCAATCTGTTTGGTTATAATGTATTGACTATCTCTTCTATGCCTGGTAGGTAGTGAGTTGTACAGAGCCGTTTTGATCAAAGACAAAACAGTTAATAGTAACTTCTTCAAAAAAGATGTTTTTTCGATGTTTCTGTAGAACACGTAGATAAACTTATTAATGATGATGATAGCCAACAAATGAAAAAATTAAAGCTGCAACACACGTGACGCAAAAAAGTATCGAAGTATAACTGTGCAATAAGTGTCACAAAATCAACCTAAGCGGTCCCTTCGGGCATTTTCTGTTTTACGTCCTTTTAACAATTTCATACTTAGTGCGGGCGTGAACAATAGAAACGTCATCATTACCCAACGATTCCATAAGGTCCCTTATCAAGCAAATCGAGATTTTTTCTGGCATACAGACTGCATATTTCAACTGTAAGTACTTTTCTATATGTACGCGCGAGCTACTGGGATGCCTCCTCGGGCGAAATCCCTGCAGGGGCAATAATTCCCTACCTTTTGGTTTGCATTTTACAACAGCCTTTCCTTTTCCTTTACAGTTTTGTGATCCCACCGAAATATCATGGTGGCACAGCAGGAGAGTAGACTCTTTTCCAGTGCATTTTATGTTATTAAGCCACAGTCGGACATCCTTTATTTTCTCGTTTTTGTTCTCGAGAGTTGATAATGATGACGATCCATCAAACCCCATCATCCTGCAAGCCACATCAGCAGCCTGTTTGTCCCACTGATCTGCACATACCCACACCCATGTACTATTCGCGTAAACTTGAACTAGTCCTTCCCCATGTGATTTCCCATGCACTAAACGAGCTGGTGGAAAAAATAAAGAATATATTATAGAACGGTGTTGTTTGATTCGGTGAAGAATAAACCACTAGGGAAACGATCGGTCTTAAAGAGCGGCAGGTTTAGCTAGTCAGTAGAGCTCTGGCCTATAGAGCAGGAGGTGGCGGGTTTGATCCCGGGAGCGGAAAAATACGGTATCTCTGGGTCTTGTAGTCTTGGATGAACACCGTAAAAATGGTGGTCTCATTTCCATTGGGAAAGGTAAAAGCTGACTGTGCTCAATATGTGGTGTTCTTAAAAATGCATTGGCGTCTAAAAAAGAGTATAATTAGATCTTATGTACGCGTCTGTGGTGTCGTTCTTCAATTAATGATTTATTGTCCCGGCGAATTCTTTATATCCGCATTTGAGGGAGGTTAGACCACCTTATACTACTGTGCCTGCCACAAAATGTCAATTGCAAGGATAGAACGTCTTGTCTCATTTGATCTTAGAGGTTTTGCTGGAACTAAATTAAACGCCATTTGAAGGCCGCGTCGAGCCAGTTTCTGTTAAGTATCCGTGCAAAAAGACCAACTTCCTCGCCTTCTATTCTTGATGCAAAATATCAGCTTCCGAAGTTCGGGCAAGCCTAGAAAACAAATAAATCTTGAGATTCAAGATTTCTTTTTTTGTCCCCTCCTCTTCTCTCGCTTTTCCTGAACCGCGTTATTCTTTCGCTTGGCATTTCAGTTCTGGTCTTTATAGGAGAGAAAGCTAATATTCGTTGGCGCAAGAGTTTGGCGGGTATGGGATAAAAGATCTTTTCCCGAGTTACACGTAAATGTCACAATTTTCTTTGACCATTAATTAAGGTGCCTCACTACAGTTTTCGGATGAAAACTATCGACTTTTTCAAACTGGAACATTTTTAGCAGCTGAAGGTCCCTACTGAACTGATAATCACTGCAATTTGCAAATGCCGAAAAAGGGGAACTTTCTCAGCCTCTTTTTATAATAAATGAAAAACTGTCTAAAGGATATGTTTGAAAAAATGTTTACGGTTTCGTCCTCCAAATTGAACCCAGGTTGTACGGCTAGGTTTTGAGAAATTTAACGTGGAATAGGCCATTTGCACTATGACATCATTTTACTACTACGACCAGAATCCTTCATGGTTTTTCTTTCTCGTGCAAATTAGGGCTTTTGTTCTTCAAACCTGACTGAGATTACAAAATTTAAACATGAAAGGAAAAAACGAAAAGGATTCTAGTCGTAGTAGTAAAATGACGCCATCGTGCAAATGTGGCCTATTGTCTTTTTACGACCCCCATGGACAAAAGTATTGCACATGCGTCACCGTTTGGGGAAAACCCTGCTCGCGAGATCGTCCGCGCACTTAGCCTGCATTTCATTCGATTACTTCGAGTCGTTATTACTCCCTCAGTAACGTCTGAATCGACCGGCCGTTAATGCCGTCTAGTGACGTCACAACTCCTTTGCTTTAATTCATGCAAAAAGTAAAACACGATTTTCATGTGCAAACCAAGAAATATCGTTTGTATGATACAGAACAGCTGACAGAATTGCATTACTCTTTTCGATCGTAATTCATATTTAACGTTCAAAGGTCTTCAAAGTATCAACTGCTTACAGTACCCTGAACCGGTTGTAATTCAAACTCGGTCGCAATCACGCAATGAACTGAAATACACACACGGAACACTTAGTTCAAAAACAATTTCCTTCAGTTTAATTGAAAAGAAGTTATTTGGTCCTTAACGAAGAAAAACGAAAACAAGGAAACAAGAAAGAAAAGTTAACAGAATCATCACACTAGTATTTGACGGTGAAAATAGCAAGAAGGTCGAATGACAACATGACATTGGTCTCACATAAACAAAATCGCTGCGGAAACCACAAAGCGGCTCTAAATGAAAGACCTACCGATTCTCCACAATGATTCTTCATTCGCAGTTCAATGTAGCAATTCAGTTTCGAAGACAAAGGTAATTTTGCTGTTTACGATAAAGATTTATCGAAATGTTTGAACTCCACGCGAGCATGCCACCGATGCGATCCGCTGAATATCAAGCGAAAATCCCGCTAAAATTTCTCCTAATTATACATAATAATGCCAATGTTTAGACAATCAACCAATCAAAATCACTACGCGGTTTTCAGGGTATAGTGACGTCACTGGACGGCATTAACGGCTTGTCGATTCACACGTTGCTGAGAGGAGAAAACGACTCGAAGCAATCGGATGAAATTCAGGCTACCGCGCACTCTGTTTTCCGCCATTTGTCAAGCTAAAACTGTGTTTTGGGCAATCGATCCTTGCACGGTTTGTTACTGCGTGGTTAACACAACCGAACATTCCGGCCACTGAAAAGGGAATATGGTGGGAGTGACATTTAATAGGATTTTAAAAGCTCGCTTCATTCTGGAATTGTGGATGATAATTAACAATTATTGAATGAGACTGAGTATCATCTGAAAAGAGAATAGTGTTGGAGCTGCTCGTAAGGTCTCTCCTAATTGGTCGCAGGAAACAATGACATGTCATTCTTTCAATTGTTTTAGTATTGTTTGGGTTCAGGGAAACGCACCATTGGTGGATTCTCTTCCGAGCAGCTGCTACATAAACATGACCCTCTGAAGAATTTTGGAGATCGAGAAGGGTGTTGAAGTTATCGTCGATAGTGCATGTTAATCAGCAAGTTTAGGAGACAAATGGTTATTGTTCCCTCAGCTCCGCAAATATTTTCCAAATAGCGGATGTCGTCCGTCGAATTGTCTTCTCGCTGTTCTTGCTATGTGTTTAGCAAATAGTTCGTCTATTTATTCCTCGTGAAACGAGTGAAATGTTCCGCCATTCTTTTGCTCACCACGAAAACAACTCAACCTCGTCCCCAGGTCTTCTTGGTTAACAGTTCAATAATCTGGCAATTTGCTCATAGTTTCACATATCGCAAAATTCTTCCAAATTTGGTCGACAATAGCAAGTTATGGTGATGAATTATGCGTGGGATTTTAGCCAATCAGAAAAGGAGAAATATTTTGAGTGAATAATAATACTGCTCACATGTGAAACCGAGGGATATTAGCATGAAAGACAACTATAATTATCCTTACGTTAAAAGTCAACTTGGGCGTTGTAACACCTTCTTAAGGTGGTTAACAAATTTTTGCTCCGTCAGTGAGAACTTTGTTGCTCATGGGGACTTTGCTTTGGCTCATTAAAGAAAATATATTTGGTAACAAAGTGGCTACATTTTTTCTCCGAGTATTAACTTACGCAAACTGCATCGCGGCAAACCGCCTTCAGAGAAAGACTTCCCGACAATTTTTTGTGAACAAAGTCATTGCTCGTTCTCGCCGGTCTCTCATGGGAGCTATAAAGGTACTGATGTACGTCTGCTTTCGTGTCTGCTTCTGCGGGCAAAATTATTTGTTTTGTTTATCACGTACTCATGTCAGTGACAGTGTTGACGAAAATATGACTTAGCTTTATTCTTATTAGAAGCACGGCATTAAGGTGATGTTACACGGGACGATTCGCAACAACGATTTTTAGCGCAACACAGAGTTACAACATTATTTGTTGTTACATTGTTTCGAAGCATTGTTCCAGCATTTGAACCCTGTGTTGCGCTAAAGTCGTTGCGAACCGTCCCGTGTAAGATCACTGACCTTTGGAGAAACCTTTATTTTCACATTTCATACTATTTTTAGATTTAACACATTTAGGATTTAAATTTATTGACGATAACTTGCAAAACAGACTAAAAAACCGAACCCTATGTATCAAAGAGAAAGATAAAAATTGTTATAATTAGCAAGTTTTTTTCTAATCACCTCCATAGCACATAACACTAGCGTCTTCTTCGTGATAGCAGTCGTTCCCCCTCCAGTAGCCACTGTGCCGACATTCTGCTAACGAAATCTCATTTCCAGTACACTTAACATTATTCATCCATATTGGCCCATTTCCCTGCCCAAAGAATGCTTGGCGGTAAGCAGCATGATCTCCTGGAAATCCAAGTTCTCGGCAAACTACTTTGGCGTCTTTTAAATCCCACTTGTAGCCACACACTCTGCCCCAGGTTCCACTTTGAAACACTTCTACTCGACCTTCAAAAGGCCCACGTCCACCAACCAACCGAACGACTAGGAATTGAGCAAGAAAAATAATTAACAATTAATCAGTCTTTTTATCTTCCAGGGCGACGAAAATATCCACTCTTTTTCTTCTCCTCGTCAAAACAAAATTACACATGTAATCTACATCAATTCTAGTCTGCTACACCCAGCCGTTTTTGGAATCGTCACGCAAAGCTCCACTAAAAACTGCTCGGTGTAGCAAAAAAATCTCACAACTGCCCATGCAGCGAAGCCCATATGGACCCTCAGTACTGTTTGGTCAAATCATTCCTTACTAAACATTTGGCCCCGAATTTTATATCATGAATTTCAAGAGTTTTGCTTAAAAAAAGCTACTGATATTTTGCTGGCTCTTTTACACTAACTGCTGGTCGCGGCACGTGACGTCACGGCGACCATGTTGGTGGTCAAGAACAAAAGCATTTCTCTCCTCTGGGAACTAATAATAATAATAACAATAATAATAATAATAATAATAATAATAATCAACTTTATTTAACGAGGGTAACACGGGACAGTACTTCAACTGAATAACTAGTGGCCCTCAAACTAAAATTACAAAACAAAAATTAAGTGACAAAATACATATCGTTAACGAAAAAGAACTACAAATATATGTATGGATAAGACTAAAAAGAGTAAAAAACTATATTACAATTATAAAATATCCTTACAACGAATATCTTCAAACTATAATTACAATAAGAATACAGCTAGTATGGGTCAAGCGAAAGGAAGGTTGTGAAATGCCGGATTAGCATAAAACTAAGAAATAAAATTAAGTTTCACTTAAGCTAAAATGATCAATGATGAACTAAACTCTATTTTCATGTAAATTCTTTGAGAAAAAAGGTGCTATAGTGTTGACCCCCAACATGGCCGCCTTGTCACGTGGTTGCAAACCAAGAATACGCCACTTCCACATTTTCCATAATGCACCTTATTTGCCCCCCCCCCCCCCCCCCCCCCAATTTTCCCCATTAAGTTTAATGTAACAGAAAAATATAAATAATGAAAAAAAACAAAATTTAATGTCAATTCTTTAAAAAAAAAGGTGATATGGTGTTGCCCCCCAAAAAAGCCGCCTTGGCACGTGGTTGAAAACCAAAAATAAGCCCCTTCCCCATTTTCAAAAATGCACCTTATTTGCCCCCCCCCCCCCACCCCCCAAATTTTGCACAACCTTTGTTTTTCATTTCTCCTGGGTATTACAGCCGTCCCAAGAGAAATTGGAAACAATGTTTATGCAAAATTTTGGGGGGCAAATAAAGTACATTATGGGAAATGTAGAGTGGCGTATGTTTTAGAAAAGCAACGTGCACTTTTGAGATTTTTTTGTTTGTTCCAGAAAAAAAAGAACAGAGCTCAATATTCACGTTTCTCCGTCTTCTGATTCACCGACAGCATCACTCATAAAGTGGAATACAATGCAGAAAATACTGACTCATGAATTCTCTGGAATTGACTCGTTTTTTTCATGCTACACACCTTGAACTGTTTTATTCAGAGACAGTGCGCGCGTAGTTTGCTGTAAAAAGTTATCCTTTGTAAACGTAAGTGCAGTGACTCAACTGTTTGGTGTTATGGAATTCACTTTTGGTTTTAATGTCAAAAAGCACATCGAAAAAATTTAATCGTTACTGACTTATTTCTATAACTCATCAAAGAAGAATTTGGAGGATCGATATTCCGAGAATGACTTATAGTCCTTTAGAGAGTAAATTGAATTGTTCAAATAGTAGAGCACGGCGCTCAGATGATCGGGGAAAACGAGTTAAATCGTTCGCGAGGAAAACTAGGGGAAATACGAGGTAAGGGGATGAGGTTAACCTTGTTATGAAGCAAACCTCCTTTGTTTTCATACTGAAATTATATTGATGGATGAAAAATACTAGTTGGCTAAAGAGTAATTTTATGGTCAACAACAAAGGTCAACTCCAACCTTGTTATTAAACGGTTTAGTGCCGCGCGGTCACTTAGGATATTCTAACCCGTGACTTGTAAAAACATCACACTATTGTCCATAGTACAGACTAATGAATGTGACGACGTAAATAGCTTACCAGCATCAGCTGCTTCAATATAGTGCAGTAGTGAACCTGAAAATGAAAACAACAATTTCTTTATTAATTATTTATAGTTTACCGATATTTTCACCAAAGAGCGAGGCTATCAAAAGCACTGCAAAATAACAGTGACATCGGAAAGACTACGTATCTGAGAGTGTCAGCGTTATCAGTGCAGACAATCAAGGCCAAGCGAAAAGTCACATTTTTCATTCAACGGTCCCCCCGGGGGATGCACTGTAGGGAATTTTGAGTAGTGATGTGCCGCCATGGCCTTCAGACCCTAACGTTGATTAACCCCAATTGAGACCAGGAGTGCTTTTGCTCACTAAAATACTAAAATGCTGAATAACTCCATACAAATTTTACCTATGATCACTAAACTTAGCGTCTTTCCTAAAATTTATTAGTCCTCTTGACGTAACATTGACGTCACGATAGCAACCGAGTTTTTACAGTTTTTGTTATATAGCTAACCTGTTTTCTTCCCTTCGATTGGTCGATTTGTGGTCCATAACTTAATGTACGGGCTATGTTAGTCCGTGATTTCAGACAGTTGTAAAAAAGTAAATGGACTTAATTGCGCCCTCCTCCTAAATAGCTACAACAGTAAAAGAACAGGAATCCGTAGTTTTAATTATACCAGATTCAGGGAAAACCTCGACGTTCCTATGTGCAGGACAGCTACTGCACAACGTTCCTTTCATTCTCGATCTATAAACACTTGGAACTCGCTAAGCGCAAACACAAGAAATAGTAAAACGCTCAATAGCTTCAAGCGTGGTGCACAATTGGAGCTATGTCACACCGACAACTAGCATGACTACAACAGTTTGTCATTAGAGTATTTATAAGTCAATAACAAGTTAATATGTATATAGTATATACGATATATTATCGTAGCTATTTTTTCCTTTTTTTCCCATTTATTATTAATAATTAGATTTGTAAATTAGCCTTTTTTCTCCTTTTATTTTCCAAATTTGTAAATTAAATCGGAAGAGCCACATAGTGGAGATTTAATAAAGATACTGTACTGTACAGTTTCTACCGGTATCTCGTGTACATCTTGAGTTTCTACATTCCAAACGATTTGGCTTCTTTTTTGCTGTATGAATTTCCAGTCGTTGATCGTTATCGTTCTTTCAGTTTTATTGACAGTGAAGTTAACGCGTATGTTGGCTATGTTCAATACATCATTGGCGGCGGAGTGTCGAAAACAAGGCTACAGAACTTATGAATGAAAGAAAACGTTGGGTAAATATCGTTTAAAGTGAAAAAGAATTTAGTATTAAGCATGGAAAGACATTTCTTACCCGAAAATAAAAGTAAAAAGGCCAAGAACACAATAAAATCGCGAGTTTTCATCTTCGTGAACATCGCTTTAGTCTTCGTCTGTGATTCAGAAGGGCGCGACTGTGGAACTGAATCCAATACACATCATTTTCGTTCATTCTAGTCTGCTGATCCGCGTTAGCAAAATTTGATCCTCATCCAAATTCGCCTAACAAAAGCTAAGAGTGCCAGCTTGTTCATCAAAATGCGCCAAGAAAATATTTCGCTTTGTATATCCTTTTACTGAAGGGGATGAATAAAACCCCAACAGTGGGCTGCAGCGTATATCACTGAACTGATGAAACACGCACGCAGAGGAAAAACCGAAATTTTGGATTTGGCCTTGCTATTCTTTGAAATGAGCGCGATAACATTTATTAAACACATGATTGATTTCAGATCTTGAACTCATGTTATTAAGCTTTCGAACTCGCCTTTACACCACGTGTTAGGGCACATTAGCCTCAGTGAAACTGAAGGTCAGAATATCATACCTTGGAAAGCCGCCATTTCATGAATAGTTAATTATTAATTATTATTAATTTATTATGAAACAAATTTCTAAGAGACCTGGTTCACTTCTTGATAATGCTGTCACTGGTTGTTGTTGTTGCTTTCCTTATTGTTTTGTTTTGTTTTGTTTTTTTCCGGGGAGTAAAGGGCAATCAGCGATGTACTTTGTCCGTAGTCAGACTTGCTACAACCCCACGAGCTTCTTAGGAAGGAAATTTTTGAAAGTCTATCAAACGTTAGCGCAAACGCCGCGAGCCAAGCGTGTGTCCGCTGATTTTAGAGGGTGATGGTGGCATGGGCTTGTAAATTAGTATTTTAGGATCTTGTTTATATTTTTATTTCATTTTTAATCGAAATGAATTGTTTTTAATTGAAATGAGTTTTTTTTTTTAAATCGAAATGAACGGGAGCTTATGAAATGAAATGACTTGTAAATAGTGCTTTGAATGAATATATATATTATATATTTTTCTTCATCAGCGAAATTAATTGAAAATAGGTTTTAATAATTAGTTTTGCTATCAATAAGAGGTTGTTATTATTATTATTATTATTATTATTATTATTATTATTATTATTATTAAAAAAGATATAAAATAATTCATCAAAGATTGATGTAAGTGTCTTACAAAGAGGGTCAGTTTGTTTATCACAGTGTGCCAAGAAGAGGTCCAAGGAGATATTTCGTTTTGTGTATATAAATGAAAAAAACAAAAACCAAAAATTAAAGAAAGATGAAATAACGGATAAAACAGGGTACACAAAAAGTGAAAACTGGACTTAGAGGACGCATGCCCTGTGTTAAATGAAGCTTTAGTTAGCTCTTCATGTCTTGCCGTTCCTTAAACTGTGCCAAATAACTTTGGCAAAAAAAGGATCAAATATTAGCTAATGAAACTCAGTTTTGACTACGGGATAATTTCTACAACTACGAGAATGAGTGCGTGTACGAGTTCTCAAACCAAGTACGAGTGGATACTCGATTTCGTACCGCGTAGTCTAACTTAAAATTTAATGATTATCTTGTCCCTCCGTATATAACTCAATATTGCCTGTTCTTATGTTTGTGTCGCTTATCATGAGAGGCTTAAAAACTTTTATTTTCTTCAAGAAATTCTTCGCTTTTCGCGCGTTTTTGCGGCTTTGCCGCTCAGTAGTGCTCCCGACAAAACCGCCATGCTACGCAGGCTAGGAAGTGTGTATCTTCATGCATAAAGTGGTTAAAAAGTAGGTGACAACAAATGCAGTGTTCTCACGGTGGGCAATTGTCAACAAGGTTTTGCCGGAGATGGAAATTTGGAATGTTAAATTCGTCATTTTCTATCAATTTTAGAAAGGAAAACTTATATCATATATCACAAGCTTAACAAAAGGAGGAATTTGATTGCTCAGTCTGCAAGTTTTGGTGGGACCATCTTATCCGCAAGAGGTTTCCGGGGTTGGTTCCACAAGAAAGAAATTCTCTTTTTGGTCATACAATATATCCTTTATTGATCAACTGTTTGGTCATGATGGCAGGATATTGGTCTGGTTCTTTTATGTGTTTTTATTAACAAAGGAAACAAAGTGGATACTAAATGTAATTTAAACTGATAACAACCCCCTGAATGGTTGAAAAGTCACATAAAACGTCGGGAAATAATTAAGAGGATTTTTTGTTGTGTTCTGCTGTTAACGGAGTGCTTTCTTGCCCATTGTAACGTTACAAACGTTCATCCGCCTGTTAGAAAGTGCGAGGAAAAGTCGTCTTTTTAGCACCATCATGAACCTGCAAGTAATATGTCATTTTTACAAAAAATATACAAGACTTGAAATCATTATCGTAGTTACATTAACATAAGAGTGGTGGTAATATTATTTGAACAGGAGCACAGTCTTGGCTACGTCACATGACATTAATTCTTTGAAGATTATATATGTTTCTGAGGACTGGTCACTCTTTTTTGCGTCCTGTCACGAAGTAAGTGGTCTCTTAGCCTGTTCCAGGCTTAGGGCTTTCCACAAGTTGCTCGGGAACTTTATGGTAATTTTTCGTATTTCGAGCAACTTTTTGCATTCTTAGCAACTTCTCAAGTAATCCTGAGATATCGGGGCAGCTTTTGGAGCTTAAATTGGCCTTTCTTCATATTTCAGTAGACAATTTATGAATTCCGTGTAAAAAAAGGAGCCAAATCCTCCACCAGTCAGTCTCTTATCCCTTCCCCACCTCATGGGTATTGCGATGTGTTTTTTGTGGAAAAATGTTTTGAAAGCTTTTGGTTCTGGGCAATCTGACGTGCGCTCAGGAACCTTGATGACTACGTGTTGCGTGGTGAACGCGAACATGGACTGAGGGGATCCGGGTAATCAATATTGCATGACAAAACATGGATCTTCCTACCCTCAGATAGTCTTCTGATTGCGCGTGAGCGGTGTTTGGAATCATACAATTGGATGAGCGTATATAAAAGGTTCGCGTTCACCACTCAACACGCAGTCATCGAGGTTCCTGAGCGCACGTCAGATTGCCCAGAAAAACCGCAAAACCGTATAAAATGGCCATAAATAGGCCACTTCCAAGATCCAAAAACCCTCACTTTCAAAATGAGGCTAGGTGCACAACCTTTCTTGTGAAAATGAGTTTTATTTGCATGAGAATGAAAAATGATTTCCATACCAAAGGCTGAGCACCTACCCTCGTTTTGAAACTGAGGGGCCCGGGGGAACTCGGAAATGGCCTATTAAGCCCAGGTTACACAGAAAAAAGCAACAACAGGCCCAAGTTTACGTAAGTAAAATCTTTTTCTATATTTATACCTATATTTCGACGGTTTAACGACAAAATTGAATTTCTCATACAAATTCTTTAAATCGTTCGTAATATGCAAAACAGTATCGAAACTTGCGTTAATTTACGCACCGAGTTTGGCTCGCCTGTGGGGAGAGACGGGTAAGTTGAGCCTGTAATATTGTTTTCAATAGTGACCTTTAAACGACTCTGCATGCGCAGAAGAGCTCTGGGGTAGAGATTGCAAATTAAGGAACTTAAGCACCAGACGTTCTTGATTCACGAACGGCATGGCTGGCAGCGCAGAACTGGATCGGGGACGCGGTTTGCACGCCAAGTGCAAATCATTAAGCAAAACAACGTGAAACCATTATGAACGCCGGTCGACAGAATAATTCAGTTGAAAATGTCTTTCAGAGATTTGCGTTAAGTTCTGTTTCTTTCTTACGAAGAAAACGTTATTTCAGACGAGGAATTTCTACTTTTGTATGACGAATACTCTCCGAAGAACCCAGAATTTGAACCTCTGGTTTCAACCTGAGAACTCGCGTTTTGAAGTCCGTGACCGCAGCTCAGGAACGTCTTGACATGCGCGGTGGCTGTCATGCTGCAAAAATCCTCCGGTTGGCGTCCGTGATACCAAGAACATCTGGTGCTTAAGTTCCCTATTGTTTACTATCACTACCAGCATTTGCAGGCTGTTTTCCGCAGCTGAACGACGTATAGCAATCAGCGATCATTATTTTCTTTCACTGAAATAATTGCCATGGAATGTAGTTTTTTGCTGTACAATCATATTCCAATGAATCTTTAAATTTGGGAGCTAAGTTTGACAAGCGTATTCTTTAAGGTATCGAGGTACTTTTACGATTAAAAATGGGCAAAATAACAATTTTACACATGCAGAACTGCATCACCCTTTATTTACTGTTTTTGTACGACTAAAATTCCTAATTTAGCGTTTATGGACGACGTAACCAAGCAAAGTCGAAACCGGCCGTTGTAACCTTAGAGACGGCGATTGGCAGTTAAACAGATTTACAAAGTCAGATGGATTATTCATCCAAAATTAAAACCGTTCCATTTTCACATGACGATGGCTCGACCCAGTAACTATTTTTGTTATAGGTACACCTTTTATCTTTGAATCTTTCAGACTTAAACAAATTTATCTTTATATATTGTAAAACCATTATACATATGCATCACACATAGACTAAACTTATTATGATATCATTTTTTAGGCGATCGGAATAAATATCACGTGACAATGACGTCACAATAGTTTAAGCTCTAAATCGAATTAAAGCCCGGCATTTTCTTCAGAAATGTTTGACGCTTCCTATACTTTGAGTGCTTGCCTTCCGTTGTGTGAAGTTTCACATAAATATAATCTATAAGAGGAATTTCGAGATATCTTAGAATTTCTACAAAAAGGGTATACAAAATGACTGGACTTAATATGCAGACAAGTTTTTGCTACTCTTTGAATGTTTTCGAAACGTCAATATCACTCGTTCGTTTTGTAAATGACCCTCATACACTATACAACCGGCTAATCGAAAGTAAACTTGTGCGATATCGAAAAACACGAAAACGTGTAAATCAAGGTAAACGCAATGCTGAGCTCTTTTTGAAATTTCTCTGGTTATTTTCACGAAAACAGCGATTAAACCAAAATTCGTCTATAGAAGATGCTAACAGACACTCCCCTTTTTTCTTCTCGCCCTTTTTCGTTCGCTCCCTTATTCATTGCTCGTCCGCTTTTCGCTCGTCTGCTCTGGCCGAACGTCTGGCACAGACTACTAATCTCGCGAAATGCCTAACATCTTCTGCGGGTTCTAGCTTTTTGTCGTCAAAATACTGAAAGTACTAGTATAGAAAGGTGTTTTTATAAATTTTTTTCAAGGGTAATAAGAGCTGACACGGACATGTTTGAAACCGGCAAATATGTTTGAATTTCTTACGTTTTCGTAGGCCGCATGGCGGTTTACTCCGGTTTTGCACACAACTGCAACATTCTCATATATGGAGGAGGTATCGATATGCTGTAATCTCTGGTAACTTCTTTCTTGTTCATCTTCTGTGCCTCTTCCACTAAGCTCGAAATAGAGAGGAGTTTCGACTTCTCTTGGCGTACTGAAACTGTTCTTACGTTGACTCTTCTGTGCCTTTCTATTTATCCTTTCCTCATGTAAATGACGATAATACTTCCAAACAAGCACACTGATGCCCACGACAGATAAGGCAAGACAAATTCCTAAAACAACTACCGTGGGGAAAAGAGTCTGTTCCGTTGCGCCGTCTGTGAAAAAAAAAAGGATCCGGTGAAAAGGGAACATAATTAGTCGAACCTCTCCATACGGACACCCTCTCTAGTACGGACAGTTTCCTATGTACCGACAAAATTCTCATACATTTCCTCTACAAACAACCTCTATTAATAATACGTACAACGGACACAAAATCTCGGCCCTTAGGAGCAAATTCATACAAACCTAACCTCTCTATTACAGACACTTCGGGGACCAGGTATCGATAATTTGCAATATGTACCATTTCCTGTCGGCGGTTACACAAACATTGACACTTTATCCCCTTTCTCCGGGGTGGAAGAGGAAAAATTCATTATTCCTTTTCTTTTTATCTCCGTTATTCGTTATTCAATACTTCTCTTCCATGCACCCCGACACTTTGACCATCTCTTCATCCGCATGTATCTAGATTATTAGTTTGATATACTGGGCGACATCTCATCAGTTTCCGCAATCTCTTTCACCATCAGGTGCATTACGAGCCTAGCCTCAACTAAGTGTTACATATATTTCCAGGTACATGTACTTTTCTATTTTTTACTCGTAAATTCAAGTAATTGTTTCTACGGAATGAATTATGATACCGGCGTTATTCTATTTGTACTTTTCAAACTTCTTCTGGCGTTTTTATGAGTTTCATTTGCTTGTTGGTTAAATGGAAAAAAAAAAACATGAAAACGGTCTAAATCATTCATAATTGACAACGGATAGCCGTCACTCGAGGTGCCTAGCGAGATCTTTACTATGAGGCCATCTGCAGAAGAACTGCACTGCTACTAAACTTGGATTCACCTCTAACTGCCCTTTATCTTTCCCTGCTCTAAAACGTTTGCATTTAGTCATAGGGATCTATTATACGTCTCCTTATTAGAGAACATTGTTTTCTTAATGTTGACTGGTTCAGATACCACATAGTTTAAATCTCGCCAGATGTTAGTAAAAACTTTTACCTCGTTTTCGTGCGGGTTCAACAACACACGCGCGGCCGACCATTACAATGCTATCTTATTTTAACTATGATGTACTTTACTCCATTCCCTTAATTCTCCCTTTTTCTGTCGAGTATTTGGATGGAGTTGCTTGTTTTTTATTTATTTATTCATATATTTAGTCTCATTTTTTCCACAAACAGGAAATACAGGGCTTTTTTTCAAAGAATCAGAGAATAATTAAAAACGCCTTTGACTGGTTCCGGCTCCGTTGATAGCTAGTCAGTTCTTCAGTGTCAGCAGTCTCCACTCCTTAACCATTTAAGCCCTAAGTGATCAGTGTCAAATTCCTCCTTGTAATATCACTGCTTTATAAAACAGAGTGGTCATGAAAACCCGTGATTCAGAAAACGGAGTAAATAAGATGAGAGAAATGATGCGACCTACATGAGACGAGACAATGCTCCCGTAAGGGTATCGGAACCAAGAGCCATTATGGCTCTTGTCGGATCATAATACGCAAGTTTTGATTCAAATCGAACCAAACTAAGCAGATAAATGGTTTACGAAAAATAAGGGCTCTAGGCCGCTATAGCTAATTAATCCTAAGTCAGCCGTTCTCTTCGATCGGTTTCGTGATGATATAAACTAAACAATTAAACATGCTGTAAACCTTGGTGCTTCTCGACCCTTTCTGATGATTGACCAATGGGATATTGTCTTAGCAAGTATTTTTCCTGTTATTTTACTTCTCAGTGTCACTACGAGTTGCGGATCTGTACCTATATGTGTGATACAACCCTATAATCATTGTAACCGACTCATCTCGTTTAGTTCTTTTTGCTATTCTGAGTAGTTTTTTCGCCTGATCTATTTTAATTTATTCTGTTATTGTAAATGTTTTAAGTTGGCAATATAAAATGGTTGGTTGTTGTTGTTGCAATTGTTGTTGTTATTGTTGTTGTATGGATACGAAAGCTATCGAGCAAAAATAGTTATTCTCTTCATTCGATGCATGCCGAGAAGGGAAAAATCAATCGAACGTCGACTGTCATTCTTTTTTTGTTAGTCAAAAATTATCATTTCGCCTACCGTATTTTACCTCCTATATTCATACTTATAATCACTTGCCAAGTATCCGTTTAATAGACCACATTATAACCATTTGCAAGGACGCCTTCACATTCATGGTGCATACATTAATAATACTAAAATGATTCTGTTTCCAATTAGACTCTCAGAGTTTTTCCATCATTTTTCGTGATCGAGAAATATAGCACATGTCACCTATGCATCTCTCAGCAACACTTGAGAGAGAATACATCAATAGTTATGATATTAATGCTATTTATTAGAAATGAAAACAATAACAATTAAGGTACAATACGGCATGATGGAGCCGTGATAAAACTGTATCGTTGCCATTACACCTGTTATCTTTTTTGCTGAAACTTCCCTGGTTGGCTCATTATACACGTGATTATGGGCAGTTGTATGAGTATCTGCAAAAGAGAAACAATCGAAGCTGTCATTAAATGAAAGCCATCACCACTGGGCGAAACAATTGATGTGGTGGTGGAATAAGTAGAGTTGAAACGGTAAAGAAAAGTTGAACAGAAGAAGTGGTTGTTACGTTGTGGAAGTACAAGTCACGATAGGTCATTTCAGAGTTGCACAAGGTCTCTATTTTAAAGAGAGGCTAAGTACACAGCCATTGAGATGAAACTGTTTTTTTCGTTTCCCTTTCCTCACTCCTCTTTTAGTAAAATCCAACATAGAGATGGTCTTAAAAGAATATGCGTAATTCCGTTCAGTTGTAGTTCAGTGATTATTTCGTTATTTAGCGGCTTGCCAAGAAAACTGGATCTTTCCTGCAACCAGTGACCTCAGCGAAAAATGTTATGTTCAAATAAGGACCAACGACATAAAAGATAGAATAATTATGATCAAGAGCTTACTGCTAGGTTAAATGATAAAAATAAAGTGTTATCACTTGTCTCGGGTTGATCGCTCCTAAAGTTTCGTCTGCTTACTGCTACACGTTTGGTTACGAACGGAGCGAAAGTTAGGGCGACCACTCACTAAAGCAGTTTCCCTGGCCGATCGAATAAGCCGATATGAAGTGGCGTATTCTAAGTCTCTTAAATTGTATTTGTAACGACCTTCTCTGTCTGTAATTTCCCACTTAATTATTACCTGCTTTCAGTGGTCAGTTCATCATAAGCAAATCATAGTTGGGGCCTGTTTACATGGAGGTGGGAGACCCCAGTTAGGTGAGGTAACCCGCTTAGGTGGGGTAACCCGCCTGTCCTGGGTTGACCCACCACATGTTACCTCACCTATCTGGGGTCCTCCACCTCCATGCAAACAGGCCCTTAATACTAAGTATAATCAAACATGCCTTTATAGACTTTATAAGTAGCTGTCCTTGTAGTGGGCAAAGTAGTGTATATGTCACCTCGAGAATCTGAAAAGAGGGAACCATTCCAAAGGTAATAAATAGAGATTGTCATCGACTTCTTGCCTTAGTTTTGGGATACACACTTAATAAAGTAATGAATAAAAAGATGGTAGCCTATTCACTATCGTGACTATTTTCTCTAGTCCTATTTCCCCATGTCCGTGACTTTAATTTAAGAGTATATAAGTTATATACCTGACGAAACTATATCAAAGCATTTTCCGATTCCCATTTTAGCATGTTTTCTGTGGGTAAAATTACCCCGCCCACAGCTTTAAATTTGTGAATTAACTGAGTCCTTTCACCTTAGGTTTCGCCAGTGTGTAGACCTGAAGGCAAATAATACATTGTTCTGGTCAGAAATAGCTAGAAATTACGGGTTGTGGATTGTAAAAAGTCCAGACCATAATGTTCTTGCGCGGCATGAGATTCTAGAACACTAGTTTATAAAAGCTTATAGCACTTAATGACATCAAATCGAGCTGTGAAGAGATAATTTATTGTTATTCAGTTATTTTGCTTTCGCTGATAAAAATATGAAAAGCCAGTGTAGAAATCATTTATTCTTTAGTCATAACTTCTTTCAGCCGTAAACAACCTGTTGATTTATTGAGCGTAAACTTATTTGTCAAGTCATAATTGTATTTAGTCTTCAAGCTGTAATCAACCTGTAAGAAGCCGTTATCCAACTGTGTAGCTTTTGAAAGTAATTAATGTTTCAAAGCAGGCTTAAGTTTCAGCCAATAAGTCTTTTACAAATGATTGTTGTGTTCTGTAATTTACCTCGCTAGTACATGACCTGATCTGTATCGCGTCATCAACTTAGAGTATTTACACCGATGTTTTGTAAGATTTTCTTTGGTTATGTTCCTGACTCTAACCGCAGTATAGTCTTGGATTAAACTTCTACATTGGACCCAAGTTCTGTTGTAATCATTGTCTCAAGGGTATTCAGCAGGCGTAAGAGATCTCGTGCCTTCCCGCAGCCAGCGAGTGTCCCCAGGAAAAGGCCTTTCCTAGAGAATTTTAGAGTTTTTCCCCGTCCGTCAGTTTTCCCTTTTGTGAAGGCAAAACCTGTTTTCACAGAGCCATTCTGATAAGATGTCCTAATTAACTTTCAGAAAAGTTTTAGAAAATGTTGTGACTGAAAAATGTTAGAAAATTGATAAAGAAGGTGATGATTTTCTGGTAATTATCAATATACCCTGCATGCATCTGTATATCTTTAACTTCGATTTTAGAAAAATATACTGAAAATAATAAATTAGACTGTCTGCATAAAAAAACAATTTGTCGGTTTTGATACCTGTAATGCACACAACACAAGTTTCCGATTCCCTATTATTATAACTGGAACAGGCTCTTGGTGACACAATGTGATCACAGTTTGTTAATGACTTCTCACTTCCTATACAGTTTATGTTATGCATCCATCTTCTCTTTGGATTCCAATAATATCTCCAGTTAGGCCAAGACCAAGCTACTGCCACAGCTCCTTTATACCCAAGCTGACGGCAAACTACGTTGGCTCCCCTTAAATCCGAGCTGTAACGTCCCATGCACACTCCTCCCCAAACTCCGTTGAGGAACACTTCGACGCGGCCTTGAGATGTAACGTTACCCCAATCAACCAATCGAACTGATCATAAAGTAAATAAATATAATTTTTAAAGTACTGATAATAATAACTAGGAATACGCGTCTCGCAATAATACTCGCCCAAAACGGTTTTTTTATATACCTGTAGCGCCAATCAAAATAAGCCCCATTGTTGTTCAGATGGGTAACCCACCGCGAATATCGTCTTGAAGGTCCCTACTTTGTTTTTTCTTCTCCCGAGGGCCTTGTTCTTATTTCCGTATATTTCGGGTATTTTTTCAAAAGTGTATGGAAAAGCATATTTAACATTATTTCAGCCGCCGGATTTAGAAAACGGAACAAGACAGCGCAATTCGCCTGAAAATTATTATACTTCGGGTTGTAGTATAGAGCTGAAACTGTAACAGCGGGGAAAATGTCAAAGTAAATTTGGGTTTTCCACTGTGTAAAATGAATTCCATATTAGTAATAGTGATGATGATGATAATGATAGATATTATATGGTCGATTTAGGGTTTTCCCCCTACGACAGGCCCTTTTACAGTTATGGGCTTAGTATACTTAAGCCTTTTGTGAACGGGAGGCTAAGGTTGACCCTTCTACAAACCTCCCTCCTTTCTCTGATGAAAATTAGGCCTAAAAATACTAGTTAGCATCAGAATAACATTATTTACGTAATAAGGCAGAGAAGGTTGTATCAAAACAAGAACAAAACAAGGTCACCTCCAGCCTCGTTTCTACCTGTACAGTGGAACCTATATTCTGGGGACACCCTCGGGACCGAGACAAGTGTCCCCTGAATAGAGCTGCTCCTTGAATAGATGTTGGCCGGGCTGGATTTATTAATTTTAAACCAACAAAAAAATATATAATTTGTTATTCTGCCTTGGAATCTGCTGCAGTCATTATTTCAAGCTTCTAGATAATATATAACTAACAACTTCACGATTAATTCTGTGATACTAGTGTATGACATCGTTTTAAGTGAGACTGTTCACGTTGACCCCTTTTGTGTCCCTTCAGCAGAGGTAAGTGAAACATTTTTCCATGGTGTTACATCAGCGAGCTTGACCCATATGGTGGGAGCCGGAAAATCTCCTCCGAGTACAGTGTCTTAATTATATTATTTAGCGGATGCGCCGCTCGTTGTGATCGACAAAATATGAGTATATAAAAAAGGGAAAATAGTTTCATCCGTGACAGCAACTTTCTTACCATCTGAACTGCATAGAACACCAGCAATTGCTTTACAGACATGAAATCCAAAGCCACCGTGCTGACATGAAAATAGGGAACTTTCGCTTCCGTTACATTGCATATTGTTAAGCCATGCAGTGGAATTCGCTGTTTCGTTATTTTGTTTGTCACCATAAAATGCAGCTACGGATCCGCTGAAACCCATCATTCTGCAAGCCACTTCGGCATCTTGTTTGTCCCATTGATCAGTACACACCCAGCCCCAGGTCTTGTTATGATAAACTTGTACTAGTCCCTCACGGTGTGATTGTCCATAAATTAAACGAGCTAAGGAAAGGCAATAAAAAAAGAACTATCCAAACAAAAGTATCGTTAATTTTGAAACAGCTGATAGAATAAAAATTGAGCGGAAAAAGTCACCACGGGGCAGTTATGTACAAATTAAAATACAGCGATGACAGCAACACTCTAAAGATTCGATTTGGAATCCTCCCAATGGTCGATAAATAGTTTACAGCCAAACATAACAAACCTTCAAAAGTAACCTAGGTCAAGCCCCCCTTCCAGAATAAGCGATCCAGGGCCGCTAATTTCGAAAAAAGTAAGGCCGAACTGACTGACTTTTACAGACGTTATCAGACTTAAAGGCCCATGTTCACCAAAACGGCTTTGCGCGCTTGTGTTTTTGTTTTGAAATTATTCTTTTGTTAAATGCAGTGTTTTGATTGGCTTCCACTTTTGAAGAGCGTTGCGTGACGATACTAAAAACGACTGCGAGGAAGACTAGCTTTTTTCACGCTTAACTCAGACTTAACCGAAGCTTAAAGAGACAGTATCAAAGAGGCCAGTAAGACTTTAATTCTTTTCTAAATGGAGGAAGATATATCGCCGACTTCGCAGAAAGCAGTTCAAAATTTAAACTGGTAGTGAATGCGTATGGATGCTTTGTTGAGTCCGATGAATACAATGAAGGTCATAAAAATACCAAACGTCTAAGCACCAGGTGAGATTTTCCTGAAGCCCCATTCGACTGTGAAATGTTTTGATTCCTCAATCTATTATTTTGTGTTAATTCTTAGGAAGCTTAGGTATGTGTTGTCGAAAGAATAAGCGAGAAGTTGTGTTTACAAAGCGTCGAATCAGCACTGCGTACAGTCTTGTTGCTGTAATCGCTGTGTTACACTTTCTTTAGGTTTTGCTAAGGATTGGTTTGCTAATAACAGTTCTCGTTACTTTAGAGCTTTAATCGTGATACGCCAGACGATAAGTTTATGTTAAGGATATCACTCGCTTCATAGGTTAAATTAAATAAAGCATTGTTCATGTTAGATTGACTCGCTTGTTTTGCTTTCAACTGATTTCATCGGGACCTCAGTTTGTTTACAATTGAACATCAACATTCGACGTAGAAGGAACTCGGCAAACACGCTGTCTGTGGAATTTACAACCAAGAGCTTCTTTCCCATCTCTCCAGAGATTTAAAAAACGGATTCACGGAGACGAATGTACTTCGGCGACCCCCGTCGACGCGGACTTCCAACCGTACGTTTCGATGGCGCCGCCATCGAAAGTGCTGCAGTGAAAACAAACACTCACAGAAAGAAAAAGGCTCGATACCACACCAAAATATCCAAAAAGATGTAAAGAAAAATACCAAAAGAACCTGTTTAGACTTTCTTTTAAACCAGATTTAGCGAATTGTGGAAGATTAACAAAGATTGACTTTACACATTGAAGGCAGCGATTTTCAACTACGCGAAATGTTTTTTACTGGAGTGTACAGGGCGCGCAATGCATCTAGGGTGAACATGGGCCTTTAAAAATGGTAGTACTTAAAGTTAGCAACAAGTATAGCGTATTTTTCTCTGCGCTAATGTGAATTCAATGAAAGTGTTCAAATGCGCAAAACAGGCATCAGTGAATTATAGATAAATAGACTCTAAAGACAAAAAAAAATCCTGATACAAAAACATGGTTTAAAAGGATGATATTACAACGTCGTGCCTAGATAACGACCAATTTTGTTTTCATACCTCTGCTGCATACCACGCTGACGTCCCTACTGTGACTACATGACTGTCCCCAACCGTTGTGTCTACACTCTGCTAATGAGTTCTCAGTTCCTTTGCACTGTACGTAATTCAGCCATACCATTCCTTTTCCACGCCCAAACGCTGCATTTAGATATGCTGAGCGGGCTCCTCCGAAGCCAAGTTCACGGCAAACTACGTTAGCATCCCTTAAATCCCAGCTATTATCGCATACTGTTCCCCAGGTTCCATTGTAAAACACTTCCACTCGGCCTTGCGATGCAGCATCATCCAGGTCAACCAATCGAACTGTCGTGAAAATAAAGGATCTGAATTTATTGTGCAGACGCCCGAAGCGGCTCTATTGTTTCAAACTACTAAAAAAAAATGTCTTTTTGCCACAGCTTTTTAACTTAATGTTGTCTGATTCCCCATGTAAGGTCATCTGGAAAATTTTTGCTTGTTCGAGTTTGGAATCCTGGGCTTTTGCATCCGGATTGAGCAGGAGGAATCTTTAATTCCGCTAATGAGTGAAATCCAGAATCAAAGCTAACCAAGGCTGTCTTGTATTACCTTACATGGGGCCACTTAAACGCGGTAAGAATGAATGGAATGAACTGCAAGGTAATGTGAGTCGCTGCAAATCTGTAGAAAATTTGGTCAAAACACGTTGTCAGTGACATAGATTTACTTCACAATTTGCCTGATTTGGTACCATCTATATGGGCTCTTCTCATTACAAAACCGAAATTAGTTAATTCATAATAAACACTTAATGACTGGTCCCGAGGGAAACAGTTAATTTTGCTTCCCGAGAATCTCAATGTTGACATCGAGATTTTGGCTGGAAACAGTTTCATTGTTAGATGTCACGTGACTTCGAAGTAATCAATGAAAGCGCGCGCTGGGAAAAAATTTCCAGCTTTATAACAATTATATTTATTTACATTTCTAACCTTTTGATCTGCATATTACACCAGCTTTCCTCTGCCCCTCACAGTTTTTTGATCCTAGACCGTCATGAACGCACTCAAATAGGGAACTTTCATTTCCAAAACATTTCATATTGTTATGCCATACCCTAAAACCTCCCTTCTCATATTCTTTGTTATTGAAATTTAATGTTGATGAGCCGTTCAGATCCATCATTCTGCAAGCAACATCAGCATCGTGTTTGTCCCACTGATCTGCACACACCCAGCCCCAAGTCTTGTTGTAGTAGACTTGTATCAAACCCTCTGTCGGATTTTGTCCTCCAACTAAACGTGCTAAAAAAACACAAAAGTTCAAGTGGATGTGAAATCTTATCCGCGGTTAAATGAACAAGCTAAGCGGCTGAAAGATAACCGGAAAGAAGTTAAGGTGTTCCTTTAAGGACACCATATGTAGCTCTCTCTGCCTCGAGTCAATCAAGCCAATTGATGAAAAGGCCAGTAATAGATGATTCCCTTTGGTGAAAACCAGATGATTCGTATATATATATATTTTTTAGTTTCGGATATTCTGTGAATTGCAAATGAAATAGGGGTTTTCTGAATGAATATCACGAAGGCAAAGTTCTTTTTTCTATTGATTCCGTTGCGGTCGTTTTTGAAATCGTAATAAACTCGTCTACAAAGTAGATAAGGTATTTTTATTCCTCGGTGAATCCCGTGTTAAAAAAAACAAAACAGATCATTCCATCGACAAAACGCCTGTTGCTTGAGACAGCCACCACTCCCGTGTTCCAACTCTTACAAAGCATAGTGCTGACCGACCCTAAACAACCAGGTCGGAAACCTGTGCAATAATATTACCCCATTTAAAAATCAATGATCTACTGAGTCATACGCCCTTTTTAACATCAATCCATGCCATACTTAGATGGTCCTTTTCCTATGACAATCTAAGTCACCGTCCAATCAGTCAACAGGTTTTCTACCGCATTGTATCCTGCACGAGCACCCCTCTGCGCACATTTCTTCAAGTTATATTTAACAATTATTCCTCGAGCCCGAATGGGCTCTGAGTCAATAGCATGGGCCATTGACTCAGAGGCCATGAGGGAGAGAGGAATAATTGTTTTGGTAAAATCCAAAAAATATCGAGACAAAACAACTTTAGCAAGTTAAAGCTAGACTTAAATCCTTTTTTGACGCCAAAAAGCCGGCGCTTTTCGCTACTAGTGGGCTAGAACATATAGCCTAGTAGTAGCTCTACCAATCAGAACGCAGCATTGATGATAGACCACTAGTTGGATTTTACTAATCATCTATATGCTAGTCTGTTGGGACAAGTAGGCAAGATGTGAACCATTTTTACACATGGTGATAAAAACGGTAATGGTGCGCTGGTAGTCGTTTGTAAATTCTCCGAGCGTCGGATCAGCGATGTCTTCCTTTCAGAAAATCGGGCAGGGTTATTATTATTAATATCGTTATCATCATCATCATTATCATTACCTGTAATGCAGGTCACATAAGCAGCCTTACTGTTAGAACAGTAGCTTAGCAACCTGTTATAGAAGCATTTGTTCAGTGACGTCTCATTTCGCTTACATCCCGAACTTCTGAACCATTTCTTACTCTGGTCTGAATTATATCTGCCGACTGATGGCGTTGTGGCTGCCACTAGAGCACCTGGAAATCCAAGATGACGACAGACTATGTTGGCCAGTTTTAGATCCCAGTATCTGTCACCACACACTGTCCTCCAGGTTCCATTGAAAAATACTTCCACTGGGCCTTTGTACTCCTTCTTACTCTCACCAACCAAACGAGCTACAATTAGAAAAATAACAATATTCGCGTTCACAGTGACAGTGTTAGTGTAAGCACTATGACAGTGACACTAACATCAACAGGGAAATGACAATGACAGTGAGAGGACAGTGACAATGACAAAAACAATGACAAAAACAATGACAGTGACAATGGCAGCGACAGTTACAATGTCGGCAATGACAGTGAAGTGACGATTAAAATGACATCGACAGTGACAGTGACAGGATAGTAACAATGACAGCTACAGTGACAGTGGCAACAACAGTGAAGATGACAGTGTAGAAGACAGTGACAGTGGCAGTGACAATGTTAGTGACAGTGAAAATAACAGTGACAGCGACTGCTATTGGCGTTATATATTTTACATGATGTAGAAATATTTACCTTGTGTTTTTCTGCATTTCACCCCAGCTAGTCTTTTCGTTTTACAGCCCTGTGATAATAGAGAAGAGTCATAACCGCACAAAAGTAGAGAAGATTCGTTTCCAGTACATTGTATATTGGTCAGCCATGCCCACGTTTCTTTTGGCTTCTTTTCCTGACGTTCAGAATTAGTCGACAGTGACCCATCGAAGTCCATCATTTTGCAAGCCACATCAGCATCGTGTTTGTCCCACTGATCTGCGCACACCCAGTACCAAGTATTATTGTAGTAAACTTGCACAAGACCCTCCCGCGGTGATTGCCCTCGTACTAGACGAGCTGATGATGACAGAGAAAATAAAGTAAGCTAGGATTATAGATAGCTGTCTGAAGAAAATACAATTAGCCTGCTGAGGGTCGGCCAAAAATTCCATAAAATACATTAAGTTAAGCTTGAGATAAACTAAATTGTCTGTATACCTGCATACTTGCACACTACTCCAGCATCTTCATCGTGGTCACAGTTCTTTACCTCCCACCAGCTGTGCCTACATTCCCTTAATGACCTTTCATTTCCTGTACACCGTACATTAGTCATCCATATTTTTCCTGTTCCTTTCCCAAAAGTCGCTGATGTAGTTGCTTTGAAAGCTCCTTCAAATCCAAGCTGTCGGCAAACTACGTTGGCGTCCGTTAGGTCCCAGGCATAACCACACACTGTCCCCCAGGTTCCACCGTAAAAAACTTCCACTCGGCCCGAGCTGGTATGTACGTCTCCACCATCTTTCAAGCGAACTGCAACAACGAGACATTAATTAATTTTCTGACAAATCCGGCCTCCTCTTTACCCTAACTTTACTGATCAATATATACCAACCTCGTTCTGAGTGACTCTCTTCTTTCCAGAAGAGATTTCCTTGGAATAACAATAAGTAATTGTAATAGGACAGAGTGGATTACAAATCAGGGAGTAATCAGGCGAGTAATTTAAAATAGGCCAAGCGCATAAAAAAGGACTATTTGAAATTACGAGCCTGATTACACCTGAATTTTACGACAAGAAGACCTACAGCATAAAGCATTATGGCCAAATTTTAAACCGAGATTCCTAAGTCAGTAAGGGAAAAGGTTACTCATTTGTATTTCAACAGCGGACAGCTGACCGTTCAATATCGCTTCCGTAGACTTTGCCCCCCAGTGTAGTTACCGAACAACCAAGGTATTTCTTTAAAAAAAAAAAAAAAAGACAAAAAAAAGATATATTGATCAGCCTTCAGATATTAAGTCTTTTGACACTTTTAGGTTTCAAAAGACCTATTTCAAGTACCTGAATGGCACTTTTTCCCCCTTGCTTTCCAAGTAGTTTAATTCCTATCCTTTTATATACCTCTAACCTTTAAAAGGTATCCCCGCATAGTCCATAGTAAAGATCGCTTCCCGTTCGACGTCAAGCCATTTCCGTACAAAAGTGATATTTGCCAATACTTCCTTCCCATTTTTGTTTAAAATGAAAATTATCTCGTTACCTGAATTGCACACTACACCCACGTCTTTACTGTGATCACAGTAACTTTTTTCCCAGCCTCTGTGGGTACACTCTGCTAATAACCTTTCACTTCCTATACACTGTACATCATCCATCCATATTTTTCCTTTTCCCATTCCAAATGCCGAGGACGTCAATGCTTTAACAGCTAATCCTAAACCAAGCTCACGACAAACGACGTTGGCGTCTGTAAGGTCCCATCCGTTATCACATACTGTTCCCCAGGTTCCATTATAGAAAACTTCTACTCGGCCTTGGAGGGTCGAATCTGTACCATTTACCAAGCGAACAGCAGCTAAAAGATTTTGGACCGTTTTTGGTTAGCTTTTTGGTCGACTTCATCTTTACATTGGTCAAAGATATGATATCATAATGAGCTTGTAAAAACACTTTTAAGTTAAAACTGTTTGTTTATTCTTACCTTGAGAGCACTTCACACCAGCGTCTTCGCTGTGACCACAGTTTTCTTCACCCCATCCTTGGTGTCGACACTCTGTCAACGAATTCTCCTGTCCATCACACTGTACGTCATCCATCCATATTGGTCCACTTCCTTGCCCAAAGGTCGCCCTGCTGTATGCCCTAATAGCCCCTGAAAATCCAAGCTCGCGGCAAACTACTGTGGCGTCCTTTAAATCCCAATCGTCGTCACATACTGTTCCCCAAATTCCTCGGTAGAACACTTCTACTCGACCTTGAAAAGGCTTATCTCCTCCAACCAACCGAGTCACTAT